AGTTTCAAGGAGGCAGGCCCCCACGGCCTCCGGCGCACCCCTCACGAGGCCCAGAGGGCCCCAGGGGCTACAGATTGAGCGAAAAAGCTGGGGGTACCTTGGGCCAGGGGCGCCTTTAGCAACCCCCGACAAGCAGGGAGGATGAGGGGGGGCACCGGATCGGAGGCCGTGGCAAAGGCGCCCTGTCCTGGGCGCTCCCCAGGATGTTCAGGAGCGACCAGCTCGTCACCTGCACGGCCGCATCGCCCCCGTGGCCGGCCTTGCACCGCGCGACGGCGTCGCGGGCCCCCGCCGCGACCATCCTGGGGAGGCTGTCGGAGTAGTCCTTCGCCAGCAGCAGCAGGGCGGAGCACACCTCTCGGGCCACGGCGGCGTCGGCGCTGTGCGTGGCCACCGCGTGGAGCATGGCCTGGATGCCGCCGCTCTCCAAGACGGTCACCTGGTTGCTCTGGTCGAGCATCAGGGCCCGCAGGGCGGCGCAGGCCCTCTCCTGGACCCGAGGGTGCGCGCCGCTCGCCCGCATGGCCTCCAGCACCGCCTCGACGCCGCCCCGCATGCCCACCCTCCACGCCGCGTCCCCCCGGGAGCCCCCCTCGGAGTGATCGCGGGCCAGGTTGAGCACCGCCCCGCACCCGAGCTCCTGCATGCTCGGGGACCCGAGGGCGGCCTGGCCCGACATGGCGCGCAGCACCGCCTGGCAGCCGCCGGCGGCGGTCACCTTGCCTTGGCCCTCCCGGGTGGACGCCGCGTCCCGCAGGAAGTGGACGCCGGCCTCCTGGATGGGCAGGGCCCTGCCGCCCTTGTGCCGCTCCATGGCGCGCAGCACAAGCTCCGCGGCACCCGCGGCGAGCAGCCCTGGCTCCTGCTGCGCCTGCAGCTCGCACAGGCGCCGGCAGCCCGCCTCCGCCATGTCGCTGCCGTCGTACTTGGACATCGCGGCCATGACGCTGATGAGGGGCGCGCTCGGCATCGCCCGCAGCGCCTCGTCCTCGTGCCGCCTCCTCGCCGCCGCCTCCTGCGTCTCGCCCGCGGCCTGCAAGCACGCCCGTCGCGGGCGCAGCACGGCGCCCGAGGGCGAGAACAGGTCCTGCGCCGCCTCGACAATCCGCTCCCACAGGCTGGCAGGGCCGCCACCGCCGCCGCTCGCCTCCGCTGAGTGCCCTGCAGTGCCCCCGCAGCTCGCCGCCTCTGGGCGCCTCTCGCCACCACCGCGGCTCGCCTCCCCCAGGGCCTTCGCGCTGCCGTCGCAGCCCGCGCCCGACGCCCCGAGGAGCACGGGCGCGCCGAGGAGGGACTGCTCCTCCGAGGCCTGGAGCGCGGGCGCGCTGAGCAAGGGCCGCTGCAGGCCAGCGGGCATGGCGGCGGGGAGGCGGCTCATCGCTGCGCTGACTCTGCGCGACGGAAGCGGGCGACGGCCGGAGTAAAAAATAAAGAAAACTGCGGGCCCTCCTCCTCCTCCTCCTCCTCCTCCCTCCTCTCCTCCTCCTCCACCTCCTCCTCCCTCCTCAGATCATCATCATCATCATCATATCATCCATCATCATCATCATCATCTTCATCATCATCATCATCATCATCATCATCATCATCATCATCATCATCAGCATCATCATCAATCATTCATCATCATCATCATCATCATCATCATCATCATCATCATCATCATCATCATCATCATTCATCATCATCATCATCATCATCATCATCATCATCATCATCATCATCATCATCATCATCATCATCATCCTCATCCTCATCCTCATCCTCATCATCATCATCATCATCATCATCATCATCATCATCATCATAATCGACATCATTATCATCATCATCATCATCATCATCATCATCATCAGCATCATCATCATGAGCAGCATCAGCATCATCATCATCATCAGCACCATCATCATCATAATCATAATCATCCTGGTCATCCTCATCATCATCATCAGCAGCATCATCATCCTCATCATCATCATCATCATCATGATAATCATCATCGTCATCGTCGTCATCATCATCGACATCATCATCATCAGCATCATCATCATCACCACCACCACCATCAGAATCATCATCATCATCATCATCATCATCATCATCACCATTATCACCATCATCATGATAATCCTCATCATCACCACCATTATCATCATCAGCAGCAGCACAAGCAGCCTCATCATCATCGTCATCATCATTACCAAACCACCATCATCATCAGCAGCAGCATCATGATCAGCACCATCAGCATCATCAGCATAATAAGCATAATCAGTATCATCCGAATCATCAGTATCAGCATCAGCATCAGCATCATCATAAGCACCATTATCATCATAATCATCATCATGATCGTGATCATGATCATGATCAGAATCATTATCGTGATCACCACCATCAGCAGCATCATCAGCAGCATCAGCATCAGCATCATCATCATCATCATAACCACAACCATCAGCATCAGCATCATAATCAGCATCATCATCATTATCATCATCATCATCATCATCAGCAGCATGATCATCATCAGCATCATAGTCGTAGTTATCATCATCGTAGTCATCATCATCGTCATCACCATCATCGTCAGCATCGTTGTCGTCATCATCGTCATCAACACCATCATCATCATCATCAACAACATCATCATCATGACCATCATCCTCATGACCATCATCATCATCCTCATCCTCATCCTCATCATCATCATCATCGTCATCATCATTATTATCATTATCATTATCATTATCAGCATCAAAGTAATCATCATTGCCCTAATCAGCATCATCATCAGCATCCTCCTCCCTCCTCCCTCATCCTCATCCTCATCCTCATCCTCATCATCGGCATCAGCATCAGCATCATCATCATCGTAATCAGCATCGTCACAACCACCACCAACATCACCATCATCATCAGCATCATCATCCGTCTTCTTCCTCCTCCTCCTCATCCTCATCCTCCTCCAACTTATCTTCCGCCTATATCATCACCACCATCATCACCATCAGCACCATCACAAGCATCATCCTCCTCCTCCGCCATTTCTTCATCCCTCCTCCTCCTGCTCATTATCAGCATCATCATCATCCGCATCAGCCTCAGCGTCAACATCATCATCATCATCAGCGTCAACATCATCATCGTCATAAGCATCACCGTGCTCATCATACTTCCTCGTACTCCTCCTCCTCATCGTCATTATCCGCCTCATCATCCTCCGCATCCTCATCATGATCATAATAATCGTCATCAGCATCAGCACCATCACAAACATCATAGCAGTAATAACAATAAAAGTAATAATAACAATTATAATAATACAAATAATAGACAGCATCAGCCTCAGCATCAGCAGCAGCGTCATCATCATCATCATCATCATCATCATCAGGATCATCCTCCTCCTCATAATCATCATCAGCATCAGTATCATCACCATCATCATCATAATCATCATCATCATTATCATCATCAGTATCATCATCAGCAGCATCATCATCGTCACCACCATCATCGCATTCATCATCATCAGCATAATCAGCATCGTCATCATCGTCCGAATCGTCTTGAGCAGCATCAGCAGCATCAGCATCAGCATCAGCACCATCGTCAGCATCATCGTCATCATCATCGCCAACACCATCAGCATCCTCATAAACGATGTCCTCCTCATCAACAGCATCGTCGTCATCATCACCGCCATCATCATCATCAGCAGCAGCATCATCATCACAACCATCAGCATCAGCATGAGCATCAACATCCGCATCAGCATCAAAATCAGCATCATCATCACTGTCGTCATCGTCATCGTCACCACCACCACCGCCACCACCACCACCATCATCATCACCACCATCATCATCATCATCATCATCATCATCATCATCATCATCATCAGCATCATCATCATCATCATCATCATCATCATCATCATCATCATCATCATCATCATCATCATCATCATCATCAAAATCTTCATCATTATCATTAAGATCATCATCAGCATCAGCATCAGCATCATCATCATAATCAGCATCATCACCAAACTCATCATCCTTGTCCTCATCATCATCAGCAGCACCATTATCATTACCATCATCATAAGCAGCAGTAGCAGCACCTTCTTCATCATCAGAATAATCATCAAGATCATCATCATCACCACCATCATCATCATCATTAGCAGCAGCAGCAGAATCGTCATTTCCATCCTGCTCAGTGTCATCATCGTCATCATCATCATCAGCATCACCATCATCATCATCATCGTCATCAGTATCATCAGTCTCATCATCATCAGCAGCATCATCATAATCCTCCTCGTCAGTATCATAATCGTCATCATCGTAGTCATCATCATCAGCAGCATCATTACATCATAATCATCATGTGCAGCATCATCATCAGCAACAGCATCTTTACTACTATTATCGTTACCAGTCAGCATGATCAGCATCAGCATCAGTATCAGCATCATCACCATCAACAGTAACAACATCATCATCGTCGTCATCATCATCAGCATCATAATCACCATAATCAACATCATCCCATACACCCCGACGATGAGACGGATCTGACCCGTCTGAGCTGCATGCTGGCCCATGGCACGTGGCGGGATGTGACGGGATGATGCCAGGGCTGCCTGGGTAGCGCTTTGCAGTTTCCGAATGGCCCCCCCTCGGGAGAGCTCCCGCTTGCGCACATCCCCCGAAAGGGCCTCGAAGCTCGCCAGGATAACCCAGGATTGCCACGCGAGGGGCCACAACAGGCCGCAAGAGGCGTCCCCAAGACGCGCGAACGGCCCCCTCCGAGGTCCCAAGAGGCCTCGACGAGGCCCTCCAGGAGGCCTCCTCCCTGCTCCCTCTTCCCTCCTCCCTCCTCCCTCCTCCCTCCTCCCTCCTCTCCGAGAGCACGCGAGGCAAGCGTTGCCGCGACAGGTCCTCGGCTCCCTCGCCCACCCCTATCGCCCGCACCGAGGGGCCGCTGGCCTGCGTCAGGAAGTGCAGCACCAACCTCGCCGCCGCGACGCGCACTTGGACCTCTGCGGGGGGGGGGCAGGCGGAGACAAGCGCGCTCCACGACTCGCAGAGTGACTGATCGCACATGGCCTCGATCGGCTGCGGGGCATCCACGATACGTAGTACATCGAGGCGAACATATACTTGTCGGACCTCTGCCAGTAGGCACTTTCGGCGGTGGACAAACCTCCCTTTCGTAAACCTCCCTCCAGTGAAAACGGTCTAGGACCGAAACCGACGGACCTGAACCCGCAAAAAATGACGGCCGCGACGCCCACTCGCGAATCAAAAACGGCCAATTCCTCAATCGACGTGTCAGAGTAGGAGGTCTGTCCACCTCCGAGCAGGGAGATCCACGCATCCGGCACGACTCTTGTGCAAGACCTTCCACCGCGGCCGGAGCCCTTGCTCGAGAGGCCCTCGCCTGGGCCTCTGGCGCCGTCCCATCGGGCGCGCGGGAAGCGGGAGGGCTGGCGACTCTTCGGCGAGGGCGGAGGCGGGAAGGATGGAGGGAGAGAGGGAGGGAATTCGGAGTCCCGAAACGGTGCGGTGACAGACCGTGCGGTGACCTCGGAACCCCAGCAGTGGAGCGCGCTCAGCGAAGACAGCCACGCGATGGGCCGTCGTCGGCGACGCCGTGGGCGGCGGCCGTCGGAGGCCTCCTCGGCGGCCTTGGGCGGCCTCCCCGGCGGCCCCCAGGGCGATCCCCAGGAGGCCCTCGGCGGCCCTCGGCGGGGCCGTCGTCCCCCACTCCTGCCACGCAACCAGAGTTATGTTGCTCCCATCGTACTTAACGACCACATCCCAGAAAGAATTTCGAGCACCCAGAAAAGTGTCGCAAGATATCGAAACAGTGTCGAAACAGTGTCGGACGAGTGCCCCCCAGGGCACGACACGTGAAAACCTTCGAGTTTCGGTACTTTCTTGGGCGCTCGAAATTCTGTCTGATGATCAAGGCTACAGTAGGTTGGGGCATCATAAAACCAGAGTGGTCCTCACCGAGTGGTATCGACCGTCTTGGTGGAGGGGCGCGAACCAATGGGGGACGATAGATAGGAGGGGGGAAGAAGGGTGCCCTTTGCGGGCACCAGAGGCCCCCTTTCTGGGCCCGAAGAGGCCCCCGTGGGGGCCTCCTTTTCGGCAGCCCTCGCGGCCCCTCCATTTGTAGCCGCCCCATTACGCGTCCTCCGACACCACCACTGACCCCAGCGCCCGGAGGGACGCGTGGGCAGGAGGGTGCGCGACTGGCCGCCCTTCGGGAAAACAGCAGGGAAAGCGTTGCAGAGCGACTGCGTGCACACAGAGGCTCGACCGTGAAGCAGAAGCGGGACGCCTCGCGACAGCGACGCAGAACCACGGGGAGCGCATCACGACTGTAACGCAGAAAAAAGAGGAAGCACCCCACGACTGCGAGGCTGAAAACACAGCGCGTCCCGACAATCGGACCAAGATGATGCGGACAAGCCTCGCTGTTTCAAAGACGCGCTTTCCAGGAAGCCCGCTTCGGGGTGGCCCCGTTTCCTTCTCGAGGCGGGCGAGGGCGGCCCCTGCGGCTGGCGGGCCTCTGGAACACATGGGCGGTAGAGCTCCTGTGTTTCCTAGCCCACCCACCCCTTCCTCCTCGAGGCAGGAGGGAAGAAGGGGGCAGGAGGAGAGAGGGAGCGGGGGCGAGGGAGGGAGGGAGGGAGGGAGGAGGGAGGGAGGGAAGAGGGAGGGAGGAGGGAGGCAGGAGGCAGGAGGCAGCAGGGAGCAAGAGGAGGAAGCGAGAAAGAGAGAAGGGGAGGGAGAGACAGAGAGAGAGGGCCTCCTTCACCGAGGCCTCTGGACGACCCCGGAGAGGTCTTCCCCGTGGAGGCCCCACGGAGGTCCCGCGAAGGTCCAGAGACGCAGCACCTCCAGCCGCCCCTCCTCCTCCTCCTCCTCCTCCTCCTCCTCCTCCTCCTCCTCCTCCGCCGGATCCCGGCGTTGGAGCTGGGCGATTCTCGCCTGGTTTCGGGCCCCGGGCCCCTCACGGAGCGATGCGGCTCGAGAGGTGCCGCAGCGAAGGGGCGGCCGGCCACGGGGCTCCAGTCGCAGTTCTCTGCGGCGTTGTCTTCTCTGGCAACGCCGGGTCTCGGGGACCCCCCCCTCGGGGGCCCACAGAAGACGCACGCGCCCAACTGCGTACATGTGTACGCCCCCCCCGTCCGCGAGACAGGCCTCGTGACACGAGAGTTCGCGCGATGCGTACTCTCGGAACCAGCGTGGATTCATGTACTTGTACGTCTTTCCTTCGCTCCTGACCCTCCCACGTCCTCACTGCGCCACCCGTCACGAGTCAGCCGCGCGCCAAAACTCGAGCACGCACACAGCGAAGCCGCGCGCCGCAGCATCACCCCCGCCCCTCCACTAGCGGCGTCCTAGATGGGGTCCGAGCAGACGGGGTAGGAGGAACTCGCCGCATCGCCAATACATCGGCGATGCATCGGCCATGCACCGGCGACGCCAGCGATGCATCGGCGACGTCGGCGTGAAAAACATGTGGCCCCACATCGAGCCACATCACTGGTGCATCCCCGATGCATCGGCGATGCGGGGCGATCTTTCGACCCATATCCCGACCCCATGGAGGCCTAGATCCACTCCTTCTGGGGGGCAGGGTGCTGATACCTCTGCTCTCTGGAACTCCCCCTTGGTGCGCTCTGACCAGAATCTCGAGGCGAATCCAGCCGTGGCGACGAAGGACCACAAGGACAAGTGGTAGTATATGTGTTTCTTCCTCCTCTGACATTCGGGATCCAGGAGGCCACGAATGGAAGGCATTCGCAAGAACCAGTCAGCGCCAGTAAGCCCGATTGAGGGGGCATGAAGCTAATCACATCAGACTGGAATTAGGTGGGGGATTGAGCCCAAATGAGCGGGAACAGGCTGGGTTGAACGGGAGTTGGCCGAACCAGGCCATCGACAGACCGACTCTCCCATCGCAGGAGTGGCGCCCTGAGGTCTTTACGACGTGGCCCCCCCAGAGAGTCCTCTGCGAAACTTGGCGCTTGTGGGAACCCGGCCCATCAGCGCGGCAAACGCGCTGGCCAACGCCGGCGTGGAGGCCCTCGCTCAAAATCTGGTCGAGGCTCGCGCGACTGGGCAACACGCCGGCGCCAGGAGCCTCGAGAACCTCTGCACAATCCTCCCACCACCAAAGACCCAGGAGAGCCCAGAATCGAATCGACAAGTCGGATCGGCGATCGACACGAATCGGAACGGCGGGAATCGGCAGCCGAGTCGGAAAAAGTCGAATCGGCGAAGATCGGCAGCCTTGCATGCGTCCAAACATAAATCGGAGCCCAAATCGGAATCCGAAGTCGAATCGAATCGGAATCGGACTCCGTCGACGCCGCATCGAGGCGAGTCGGAGAACTCAAAGCGAGCCCCGAAGACCTCTTCCCGGGGGCCCGCTCGGCCTGACGAGCCGTCGTGGCCTTCCCGGGGCCCGGCAAGAGGAGCCCCAGAAGCCGGGAGCGGCCCGCCGTGCCCTCTGCACGACGCGAGGGGCCGGGGCTCGGGAGGGCGGGGGGCCTCGAGTTATGTTGTTCCCATCATACTTACGTCGGGAGCGGCCAAGAGGGGGGTGTCCGAGAAGGGGGGGGTGCAACTCATGACCGGCGGCATGTGCGCGGCCCAGCGGGGGGGGCCAGGGGCGTAATGGAATAAGAAGAGGCGCCATGAAATCTGGGGAGATATCATGGCCCCCGCCATGATATCCACCCCCCCTAGTCACTAGTCATCACCCCCCTCTTTTCCGCCCCCGATTACGGACCACATCCCAGAAATAGTTTCGAGCATCCGGAAAAGTGTCAAAAGAGTGTCGAAACGGTGTCGGGCGAGTGTGTCCCAGGCTCCGACACATGAAAGTCATCGAATTTCGGTACTTTTCTTGGCGCTCGGAATTCTTTATGATCAAGGCTAAAGTAGGTTGGAACATCATAAGGCTCGAGTAGGAGATCGACTACAGCAGGAGCTCGACCACAAGAGACCTGCCACAAGAGAAACCCAACCCTGAAAACCCAGCACGTCCATCGGTGTTTGTTGTGTGGGAGCGTCACGCTCTCCATAGCAGACCCATCGAAACCCAAGAAGCCCAGGGCACCCTGCAGGCAAGCAGGGTGCAGCATGGGTTTCCACTGTATGCAGACTTGATGCATCGAAAAAAAATGCTTTCGATGAACATCTACCAACATTCACTTTGGTACTGCGGATTCGACTGGAAAACAATTGTGGGGTAAAGCACTTCTGTAGTCATTATTCTCCTCTAGGGAGGCCAAAAGGTACCAATACCACTACTCCCTGCACCTCTCCTGGGGGTGCGTTCTGATCAGCACTTCGAGACGGACCCGGCGTTGGCGACGAGGGCCTCCCAGGAGGCGAAAAAAAAAACAAAAAAATAGTGCAGGGTAGCGGCATGGGGAAGCACAGGCGGACCTAGGCCGGAAGAGTATCCTTCAAGAGCATGAGACCCTCCACCGGCCAGAGAGCACCCCAAACCCTGAGATCATTCGAGGGCACCCTCCCCCAGGACGCACAAGAGCACATCCAACAAGCACGAGGAACCCCAAGGGCACCCTGCCCGAACCGGCCTGGATCTTACGCCTCGGTCCGCCGTGCCTCTTCCGCCCCGGGCCCTGCCCGACGGACAGGAGGAAGGCGGGCAGGCCCCGGGGGAGGAGCCGCGCACCGGCACGTAGGCGGGCCTCCCGCCGCCCACCGCGCGCCTGCGCCGGGCGCCGAGGGGCAGGCGGCGCCCAAAAGGGGGGAGGGAAGGCCTCTGGGCCCTCAGCAGGGCCCGGCGGCTTCTCTGGATCGGGGCCGCGCCGACCCAGGTCACCGCAAATTCGGGTCGGTCGGGCCCTGCAGGATCCTGCGAGAGCCTGCAGGACCCTGCGGGATCCTGCGCGCCGACCCGGGTCACTGCAGCCGTCCATGGCTCTGCAGGATCCTGCATGATCCGGCGCTCTGGCCGACCCTCGTCTTCACTGACCCCCGTCCCCTACAGCACGATTCCAGATAGCTTCTCTGGAGCCGCCGGGCCCTGCTGAGCAGAACCACGCCTTCTGAGAGGCCCCTCCGCCTTCTGGGAAGGCCGCCCCCCCTCGCGCCACCCCCTCTGTTCTGGGACGCCTCCCAAAGAGGCAGGCGGCGCAGGGGCGGCCTCCTCGCTCGGGTCCAGGAGGACGCCCACCGGCGACAAGGAGGTGGTGCCTCGCGGGCGGGGTGCGTCGCGCAAACCTTGAGATCCGGCCGTCGCGAATTTCCACGCCGGCTCGAAATATGCCGCAGAAAGATGGGGTCCAGGGCTCCAGCCGAAACATTCAACGGTGCTCCCAGAGAGTCGACGCATTGTTTTGTTCAACGCGGGGTTTGGCGGGCCCGCCGCTCTGGAAGGGGAGTGGGAAGGAGGCGAAGGCCGCCCTCACTCGCGTACACCACCCGAAGCCTGAGATGGGGGAGGAAGGGAGGTGGGTAGAGCGGCGGGGCCACTCAACCGCAGGAGCGGTACATACCATAGACGTAGGACCTCGCTGGGATCATCGTGCACGGAATCCCTGATCGGTAATGTTGCACACGAAATCGACGTTGATGCCTACACCGCTAAATTTGTAGACGCAGCAGCTTGTGTGTAAGATGTGTTTGTATAATTGTTGTCCGTAGCGCTGTATTATGGCGTGGTGTTATATGGTTTTAGGCAGGCTGGTCTAGCCTTGCGCTTGGTGGAAACATTTGGTTGTAGGCCGCATCGGAGGCCGCCTCGAACTATCACTGGTCGATATCAGCTGCGCATGACTTTATGGAATCGTAGCTTGCCAGATCATAGCATTCAGCGTTCCAACTGTGTTTGTTTGAATGCGTATTACCATTCTCGCCACTTTTTTCGTAATCCACGTCGATATGGTCGTTCTCGTTTTAGCGTCTTCCTCCAATCGTCGTAGCAGTTATGCGGCGGAGGTGCTCATGGGTTGCTGGCCCTTAGGCATCCCGTTCATGTGCGTCTGGTAATGGTCGCGTGCGGACGAGCGCACTTCGATGGCTCCAGAGCGGCCCAGCGCGCGGACCGTCGCGCCCCCGTCCTCGCAGTGGCGGCCAGCGCTCACGCCTTTGGGCACCATCGTGTCTTGGGGTTTGTTTGTTTTTTTCCGCAGGGTTCGCGAGCTTCGATATGGCCCTGACGGCAAACGCCTCTGTGATAGCCTCCCCCTCGGCGATCACGGTCCTGAAAAAGGCCAGCGTCTCCAGCACGGCGAACATGAAAAAGATGGACTCGTCTTGCTCGTCGCTCTCCTCGTCATCCCCTCATGGCCCTCGTTGCTCAGCTGGTGGCTATCGGAGTCCTGATCGCGGCCCTCGCAGCACAGCCGGCGGCTCTCGGATTCCTGCTCGCGGCTCGCGGCCCTCGCAGCTCGGTTTCTTGCCCACGTAGTTCGGCTGGCGGCCCTCGTAGATGCGTCGGCGGCTCTCGAGGCTCAGCTCGTGGAACTCGTAGTTCTGTTGGTGGCGCTGGTAAATATGCTGGAAGCCCGTGCTGCTCAGCTCGTGCCACGCGTAAGTCAGCTCGTGGCCTTCGTAGCCTGGCTGGTGGCCCTCGTAGTCCAGCTGGTGGTCCTCGTAACCCGGCTCGTGGCCCTCGTAGCTCGGCTCACCGACCCCGAAGCTCAGCTTCTGGTCCTCGCAGCCCTGCTGATGGTTCTGGTAGCTGAACGCAGCCCTCGCTGCATGTGGCGCTGGTAGCTCTGCTAGTGGCTCCACTAGCTCTGCTTGTGGTCTACGTAGCACAGCAGGTTGCCCTCGTAGCTGAGCTGGTGGCTCTCGTAGCTCGGCAAGTGGCCCTGGCACTTCAACTGGTGGCTGACGTAACTCTGCGCGCGGCCACCGCAGCTCAGCCATGGTCCGCTTGGCTTAGCTGGTGGCTCTCGGAATCCTCATCGCGGCCCTCGGTCGGTCGGTCGTAATAAGCAGACAGGGGCCACGGGGCGGAGTGGAGGGGCACGGTCGGTCGGTCGGTCGGAACAAGAGGCACGCGCGCCAAGGATCATACAATTTCGGGCGCAGATGGGAGGCCAACGGGCCGGATGTGGTGGGTGGGGGCATGGTCGGTCGGTGGAATTTGCACACGGGAGGCCACGGGGGGAGGGGAGCAGGGGGACGGGAGGGCACGGTCGGGCAGGGTGGGGGGCACGGTCAGTTGGTCGGAATAAGCAGACGGGGGCCACGGGGCGGAGGGGTGCGGGGGGGGGGTCCAAAGTACGTAAAAAACCCTTCCCATTGTCCCTTCCCCGGCGGGGGGGGGGGGCCGGGCAGGGGGAGGGGGGGGCAGATTCGCATCGCCTCTGGGGGTCCTCCTCTCCCACGCTGGTCTTTCTCTGGCGCGCCGGTCCTCCTCGGGTCCACCTCCCCAAGTGGGGAGGAGTCCCAGGGGAGGGGGGGGGAAGTCAGATACGCATCCGTCCCTGGGGGTCCTCCTCCCCCCCTTCTCCCCTCTCCTACGCTGGTCCTCCTCCGGTCCTCTTCTCCAAGGGTGGGAGGGCCCAGGCGGAGTCCTTGTCCTCCTCCTGCTCGTGCTCCTGCTCCTGCTCCTGTTCCTCCTCCTCCTCCTCCTCCTCCTCCTCCCTCCTCCTCCCCTCCCTCCTCCCTCCTCCTCCTCCTCCTCCTCCTCTTCTTCTTATTATTATTATTATTATTATTGTTTTTTTTTTTCTTCTTATTATTCGTATTATTATTATTCTCATGATTCTTAATGCTCTTCTTATTATTCTTAGTATTATTCTTCTTATTCGTATTATTCTTCTGATTCTTCTTATTAGTATTATTACTCTTCTTTTTCTTAATAGTATTCTCATCATTTTTCTTGTTTTTATTATTCTTATTCTTACTATTATTATTATTCTTCTTTTTCTTATTATTATTATTACTCTTATTCTTATTCTTTTCTTCTTATTATTCTTCTTATTATCATTATTCTTATTATTATTACTAGTATTAATCATGTCCTTCTTATTATGAGTATTATTATTCTTTTTCTTGTTATTAATATTATTAGTATTATTCGTATTATTATTCATATTATTATTCTTCTTACCATTATGATGATCATTATTAGTATTATGATTACTATTATGATTATTATTAGTATGTATTATCATTGCTCTTATTATTCTTCGTATTATTATTCTTAGTACTATTATTCGTTTTATAAATCTTATTATTCGTTTTCTTATTGTTATTACTCTGACTATTATTACTCTTATTCTCCTTATCATTATTATTGTTCTTCTTAGTCTTATTATTATTATTACTATTACTATTACTATTACTATTATTATTCTTGTTCTTCATATTCTTCTGATTATTATTATTGTTATTATTATTCCTCCTCCTCCTCCTCATCATCATCATCCGCATCCTCATCCTCCTCCTCCTCATCCTCCTCCTCCTCATCCTCATCCTCATCCTCATCATCCTCATCATCCTCATCATCCTCATCATCATCATCATCCTCATCATCATCCTCATCATCATCATCATCATCCTCTTCCTCCTCCCCTCCTCCTCCTTATTTCCGTCTCCCCCTCATCATCATCATCATCATCATCATCATCATCATCATCAGCAGCAGCAGCAGCAGCAGCATCAGCAGCAGCAGCAGCAGCATCATCATCATCATCATCATCAGCATCATCATCATCATCATCATCATCATCATCATCATCATCATCATCATCATCATCCTCATCCTCATCCTCATCCTCATCCTCATCCTCTTCCTCCTCCTCCTTCTCCTCGCCCTCTCCCTCCTGGTCGTCGTCGATGTCTTTACCGGCCGTCAGGCCTTTACAGTAAGCAAACAGGGGCCACGGGGCGAGAGATGCGGGATAGCGGGGGCAGGGGGACGGGAGGGCACGGTCGGGCAGAGGGGGAGGGGCACGGTCGGTCGGGCGGAATATAAGCAGACACCGGCCACGGGGCGGAGGGGTGCTGGGGGAGGCAGGGGGGGGGGCGGGAGGGCACGGTCGGGCAGAGGGGGGGGGGGCACGGTCGGTCGGTCGGACTTAACAAGCGGGGGCCACGGGGCGAAGAAGTGCAGGGGGAGGGAGGGATGAGGCCGGGAGGGCACGGTCGGGCAGACGGGAGGGCACGGTCGGTCGGTCGGAATAAGCAGACAGAGGCCACGGAGCGGAGGGGCACGGGGGGGGGAACAGGTGGGCGGGAGGGCACGGTCGGCCAAAGGGGGGGCACGGTCGATCGGTCGGAATAAGCATACGCGGGCGACGGGGCGGAAGGGTGCGGAGGGGGGGGGGGAGCAGGGGGACGGGAGGGCACGGTGGGGCAGAAAGGTGGGGGGCACGGCCGGTCGGTCGGAATAACCAAACGGGGGCCACGGGGCGGAAGGGGCGCGGGGGGGGAGCAGGGGGACGGGAGGGCACGGTCGGTCGGTCGGAATAAACAAACGGGGGCCACGGGGCGGAAAGGGGGCGGGTGGACGGGGTCGGAAACGGGCACGGGTCGATCGGGACGGGGGCCACGGGGCGGAGGGGTGCGGGGGGGGGGGGACGGAGGGGCGAGAGGGCACGGTCGGGCAGAGTGGGGGAGGCACGGTCGGTCGGAAAAACCAAACGAGGGACACGGGGCGGAGGGGTGCGGGGGGGGGCACGGGGACGGGAGGACGCGGTCGGGCAGGGTCGGTCGGAATAAGCAGGCGGGGTCCACGGTGCAAAAGGGTGCCAGGGGGAAGAGAAGGGGAACGGGAGGGCACAGCCGGGCAGAAGGGGGGTGGGGCACGGTCGGTCGGAATAAGCAGACGCGGACGACGGGGCGGAGCGGGGTGGGGAGCAGGGGGGCGGGAAGGTACGGTCGAGCAGAAGGGGGGGCACGGTCAATCGGATGGAATGAACAGACTGGGGCCCAGGGGCGGACAGGTGCGGGGAGGGGAGCAGGGGGACGGGAGGGCACGGTCGGGAAGGAGGGGGGCACGGTCGGTCGGTCGAAATAACCAAACAGGGGTCACGTGCAGGGGTGGGGAGCAGGGGGACGGGAGGGCACGGTCGGCAAGAGGGGGGGGCACGGCGGTCGGTCGGAATAAACAGACGGGGGCCACGGGGCGGAGGGGTGCATGGGGGGGAGCAGGGGGGGTGGGAGGGCACAGTCGGGCAGAGGGGGGGGGGGGGCACGGTCGGTCGGTCGGAATGAGCAGACGGGGGCCACGGGCGGAGGGGCGCGGGGGGGAGCAGGGGGGCCGGGAGGGCACGGTCGGGCGGGCAGAGGGGGGGGGGGGGACACGGTCGGTCGGTGGGAACAAGCAAACGGGGGCCACGGGGCGGAGGGGCGCGGAGGGGAGCAGGGCGACGGGAGGGCACGGTCGGGAAGGAGGGAGCAGGGATTGGAAAGCCTCGCACCAAGAAAGGGTTCGACGGGAAATCCTCACTGGAAATCCCTCGGAACGCGCCACAAAGGGGTTCGATTGAAAAACATCGCGCCAAGAATCCGGTGGAAAGCATCACAAGGAGGTTATATTGGGAAGCATCACGAAAAGAATCGTTTGAAAACCATCACAAAGAGATTCGTGCGAATAGCCTCACACTCGGAACCGTCTTGGGACGATCTTTGGACCCTTTTGGGCCGTCTGGGGCCCTTCTGGGGCTGAGGGGAGAACCCGAAAAACCTGCAAAAACCTTAAGGAAATCAGTGTGTTAATTCGGTGGCACCCCTCACGCAGATCGGCGGGGTGAGGGTCCAAAAACACACGGGATTTGCCACATTTCTGAAATTCGGTGGCACCCCTCACGCATGTCGGCGGGGTTAGGGTCTAAAAACACATGGGATTTGCCACATTTCTGACATCCGGTGGCACCCCTCACGCAGATCGGCGGGGTCAGGGTCTAAAAACACAAGAATCCCTCACGCAGATCGGCGGGGCAGGGTCCAAAAACATATGGGATTTGCCACGAGAGGACACGGTCGGGCAGAGGGGGGAGGCACGGTCGGTCGGCCGGAATGCAGACGGGTGCCACGGGGCGGAGGGGTGCGGGGGGGCACGCAGAGCACGCGGGGGCGGCACGCACCCAGGCCACACCTTAGCACGTATCCCAGCACACGAAGCCAGCACACATCCCAGCACATATCCCAGCACACGGAGGCAGCACACAGCCCTGCACACATCCCGGCACACGAAGGCAGCACACGTCCCAGCACACATCCCAGGAACGGTCCGTAGGCTGGTGGAAAAAATGCGATGCGAGATCACATCGGTAGGTACGATAATACTAATATGTGTGGGCGGTGCCGACCCTCCTCGCCCTCCCCCCCAGGCCCGAGGCACGGGGCGCGGCGCCGTACAGCTTCTCCAGCAGCCACGTCGAGCCCAGCGCCCGCCGGGCGAAGGCGAGGCGGAAGGCGGGCAGCTCCTGGCGATGCGGCGGGAGGCGCCAGACGGCTGGTCTTCGACGCCGCCGTCGCCCTCCTCCTCCGCCTCCTCCTCCGCCTCCACATCTGCCTCCTCATCCTCCTCCTCCTCCTCCGCCTCCTCCTCCTCCGCCTCCTCCTCCGCCTCCTCATCTGCCTCCTCCTCCTCCTCCTCCTCCTCATCCTCCTCATCCTCCTCCTCGCCTCCTCCTCCGCCTCCTCCTTCTCCTTCTCCTTTTCCTTTTCCATCCTCCTCCTCCTTCTCCTCCTCCTCCTCCGCCTCCTCCTCCGCCTCCGCCTCCTCCTCCTCCTCCGCATCCTCCTCCTCCACCTCCACCTCCTCTGCCGCCGCCTCCTTCTTCTCGCCGCCCTCGTGGTGTTCGTCCTGGTCCTCGCTGGTCTTCGTCGTTTTTCGCCGTGTCGCGGTCGCCGCAATCGCCGCTGTCCCGTCGTCGTCGAGCATCGAGGCAGGCTCGACGCTCAAAGGATCTCGAGTGATCTCGAGGATTTCTGGGCGTGCTTGGAGGCCTTCCAGGCTATGTGCGTTGTGCCCCTCTGGGGTATATGTCCGCCCTGTCCTGGAGGCCTGACAAGTGCGTCATAGTGAAGCCAAGGCTGCCTGGGATGGCACCAGGAGGCCGCTAAGGCCACCCAAGCTGCCTCCGAGACAGCGCCAGAAGGTGGACAGACCGCCCCGATAGGTGCCCGATAGGGGCTGAAGAGAGTCGCCATCCGCCCAAAATCACACGGCATTCCTATACATGCCTGTGTATAAGTATACCCCTGCATTACATTACATTACCTTACATTACATTGCATTACATTACAATACATTACACTACATTACATTACATTACATTACATTACATTACATTACATTACATTGCATTGCATTGCATTGCATTACAATACATTACATTACATTACATTACACTACACTACACTACACTACATTACATTACACTACAATACATTACATTACATTACATTACACTACATTAAAATACAGCTATATCACAATACATTACATTACATTCATCTACATCGCATTACATTACATTACAATACATTGCAATACAACACATTGCATTGCATTACATTACATTACATTACAATACAATCTTATCTTAGATTGCATTACACTACATTACATTACATTACATTGCACTACGTTACATTACATTACATTACACTACACTACGCTACATACATTACATTATATTACATTACAATACACTACAATACATTACATTACACTACATTACATTACATCACAATACAGTACATTACACTACAATACATTACATCACCTTACATTACAATATATTACGTTACAATACATTACATTGCATTACAATACATTACAGTACAATACATTACAGACATACATACATACGCACGTACATACATACATACATACATGAATGCATACAGACAGACAGACAGACAGACAGACAGACAGACAGACAGACAGACAGACAGACAGACAGACAGAAACACAGACACACAGACACACAGACACACAGACACACAGACCCACAGACACACACACACACACACACACACACAGACAGACAGACAGACAGACAGGCAGACATGCACACACATACGTACATACATACATGCATGCATGCATACATACATGTATAAATGCATACGCACATACATGCATACAAGCATACGTGCATACCTGTATATAATAGAACCATCGCGCGCGCTTCGCGCGCGCTCAAGTTCTAGCTATGCTGGATGGTCGAACTCGTCGGGTTTCCTGTTGGGCTTCCAGCAGCCCAGGGCTGGAAATGTTCGTTCGGCCCCCGCCTGGACCGCTGAGCTCTTGGGGGCCTCTTTCCAGCCTTCTGGATGCTGCTTGAGGCCGCTTGGGGGCCTCTTGGGGGCCTCTTGGGCTCTCTTGGGGGCCTCTTGGGGCCTCCTCGGAGCATCCTGGACTGTTTCTTGAAGCCGTCATGGGACCTTCTTGGCATGTCTTCGGGGGCCTCTCAGAAAGAGTTTTGACGCCTTTTGGGTGTCGTCTTGGCGCCTCTTGGAGCCTCTTTTGGGCGTCTTGGGGGCCTCTTGGGGCCTCTTGGGGCTTCTCTTGGGGCCTCTTGGGGGCATCTTGGGGCGGAGAGCTTGATTTTTCAGTTCGCGTTCCCTCTCTTGGGCCCCTCTTGGGGCCTTCTTGGCACACTATTGCGCAGTCTTGGGCGGCTCTGGGGCAGTCTCGGGGCTCTCTTGGACCGTCTTGGGGCCCTCTTGGGGGCCTCTTGGGGCCTCTTGGGGGCCTCTTGGGGGCTTCCCGGGGGCCACCCTCTTGCGCCGTCTTCGGCGGTTAGGAACGGTTTTTTTTTAGTAGGCACAAAATGCAACAGGCACTGTCTGCTGCGGTGCGAACGGACATGGCCCCCCCTGCTACATGCGGGTGTATGCCACTGTCTGCATTACGAGCCTCAACGGTGCCCCCCTGCTATCTGCAGGTGGCAAAGTTTATACACGTCCACTGTCTCTGGCCACGCCCCATCAGCGGGCTCGATGGCCAGCCCTTTGCTCGTTCTGACGAAGACTTCCCAGGACATGGTCTGGGTACAGGCCCCGCCGCCCTGCACAGGGCGACAAGCTCTACACACATCCTCTGTCTCTGGCAAGGCCCATCCTGTGCCGAGGAGCGGTGTGGACACCCTCCCGGCGTGGCCAGGGAGGCGTCCATGCACCACATAATCGCAAGCCAGCCTGCCAACTGCAATTGGAGCAGAAATTGGAGACCGCTGCAGCACCCTCGCAACCCTCACCGCCCTCACCGCAACGCACAGGAAGTCCGCCCAGTATTATCGTTGGCCCAACATGAGCAAGCACCGTTAAGCACGATTGTACCCCCGATAGTAACCAAGAACGGCGACGCCGTGAAGCAGCCTATGACAGTAAACGCGCAGACCAAAAAGCCGATGGCCATGGCGGCGGCACCTCCTGCCATGAGCCCAATCTGTTCACCTGTGCACGCAAGCCTGAACCGCCGCCTGCGCCGCCTGGTTGATTTCTGCGTGAGCGCGACATCCATCCCCTTGGCCAAAGAAGTTTTGCGTAACTGCGCATCCAAGCGCCTCTGTAGGGAAGCCGGCATCTCCTGCGTTTTGAGCACCTCGACCATCTCTTCACGGCTCACCCAGACGATCTCCGTCCCGGAAGGGATCTCGAAGGCCAGGGTGTGACCCACAGGTGCCTCGCTGTCGAAATCGAACTCCATGCCCAAGAACGTGTCTGGGCTTTGCGCTGAAATTGCGAACGTGGTGTTCTCAGCCTTGTACGACGCGGTGCTGTTCCCCATGGACTCCACGCGCTCACTGTCATGAGGGCACTGCTCAGTAACGTTATCAGTGTCTTCTACGAAGAACATCTTCAGCATCACAGGGTTCGCTGTTCTGCGGTATTCTGCAGGTACGTCCATCAACATTGCAGGAGCATCGTCGGTGTTAGCCCCCATAAACGTCACGATTTCTGGCATGTCAACTGCAGCATCTGGGTCGGGGGTTAAGACTGTCTTGATGATATTCCCACGATACTCCACTGTGGCCGTCACGTTCAAACCTCCATGCCCTGTGTAATAGCAGATGTTGCCATTGGGGCAAGGCAGCAAACCGCCTTTATAGCTGCAACCACTATTGGCCAGCTGGCTAGCATACTTGCGCCACGTCTCGGCCGCACGGGCATGGAGCTCGGTCTCTGACGCGGCGTGTTGGACCATGAGGTGCTGGAGGTCTACCATGCCACTGCGACTGCCAGCTTCTTCCGCTGCGGCGCCATGACCAGCACGCCTGAGCAGTGCCTCATCTGCGGCACTCTCCAGCGTCAAAGCCTGCAGTGGCAGGGCGACGTTAGCAAATAGTAGAAGGTGGAAGATAGCCTTGAACACCATGGGCTCACCTTATCACGTATGTGCGCAGTACTGCAAATAACTTGGTGTGACTTGTGCGGTCTTGAGCGAAAATGGCTGTCTGGGAACGGTTTTGGGAGCCTCTGAGGCGGTGCTTCAGCGGCGGAAACACGAAACAGCGAGAATGCAAAACATATTGAATGATAATTGCAAATCCACGATTTTGCCCTCTCCGGGCGTTCTTGGGCTGCATCTTACAAGCCTCTTGGGGCGTCTTGGGGGCCTCCGGGGCAGTTTGAAACGCATCGTGCGACCTCTTGGGTGGTTTCGTGGGGCCTCTTGGGGGCTTCCTGGGTGCCTGTTGGGGCCCCTTGGGGGCCTCTTGGGCCCCTTTTGGGTCCATCTGGGGACCCTCTTGCGCCGTCTTGGGCGGCTCTGGGGCCGTCTGGGGCTCTCTTGGGCCGTCTTGCGCCTCTTGGGCCGTCTTGGAGCGGTTTGGGGAGCCTCTTGGGCGGTGCTGTAGCGCTGGAAACACGACACAGCGAGATTAAAACATTGAAAAAATAATGAAAATCAGCGATTTTGCCGTCTCGTGGCGCTCTTGGGCGGCATCCACAAGGCCTCTTGGGTCATCTTGGGGGCCTCCGGGGCAGTTTAAAACGCATCGTGCGACCTCTTGGGTGGTCTCGTGCGGCCTCTTGGGGCCTCTTGAGGGCATCTTGGGGCGGAGAGCTCGATTTTTCAGTTTGCGTTGCGTTGCCTCTCTTGGGCCCCTCTTGGGGCCTTCTTGGGACCCTCTTAGGCTGTCTTGGGCGGCTCTGGGGCCGTCTCGGGGCTCTCTTGGACCGTCTTGGGGCCCTCTTGGGGTCCTCTTGGGCCGTCTTGGAGCGGTTTTGGGAGCCTCTTGGGCGGTGCTTTAGCGCAGGAAACACGAAACAGCGAATGCAACAAATATTACAAAAACAATGAAAGTCACAAATTTTGCCCTCTCGGGGTTCTCTTGGGCGGCATCTTAAAGGCCTCTCGGCGCGTCTTGGGGGCCTCTGGGGCAGGTTAAAACGTATCGCGAGGTTTCTCCTGGTCCAGATGGCTCCAAGATGGCCCACGGTAGCCTCCAAGACGGCCAAGATGGCC